GGGCTCCAACTATGGATGGCACCTTTAAGCCTTAACCACAACCCAGACTAATCCCCGTTCACACCGGGTCGGCCCGTAAGGAGTAAAGTGCTGGCCAAAGTGGTGACTCCATACGAGAGCAGGGATCGAACCCCTGACCTCTCTTAAGGAATGAGAGTGCCGAACCACTCACACCAACCACCTTGATTAAATTAATATTTCTTTCAATGGGCCAAAGAGTGGTAATCATAAAATCAATATTTAAATTCTAGATATAACTTTCAGAATACTAATCATAAAATTCATTTACTTTTTACTTGTTTTACTTTGAAACACCAAACCAAAAGTCAGGTTTAACAATTCTTCTTAAGAAACATGTACTATGTGTGTGACTCTTAACTTATTTAATCTCTAACAAAGAAACTATGTTTAAGCTAGAAGAAAAGACACATACATTCGGGGAAAAAAATTGCGTTTTCTTTTTCATGTGGAAATATGCTTGTTTAGAAATGCTTCTATAAAAGAAGTACTTATACTTATAAGTAGGGGTGGGCATCTCATCCGAATTATCTGCGTACCGACCGTACCGTACCAATGATTTGGTTTGGTTTGGTTAAATAATTATTTTTTAATTTTAATTATTCCAATCCGATCCGTACCGAGATATTGGGTTTGGTTAACGGAACAATATTTCAAACTTGACGGAAACCCGTACCGATCCGATATTTATACTTATTCTATTATTTAAATACAAAACAAGAAACTAAAGATAAATACAATCAGCACTTTATATCACTCATTTATCACTGTTGTATCACTTCTTTATCACAATTGTATCACTGCTTTATCACTATTCTATCACTTCTTTATCACTATTCTATCACTTCTTTATCACTCGGGTACTATAGCACTTTTTGGTTAGAGATAAATTTATGAATTTCCTTTGTTTTCCAGTTTCGACGTTTGTCCCCTTTTTTACTTGTAACTTTCCAATCGTTGGTCCAAATTTTATTTTCTTTATATGGCTGGATTCAACATGAAAAACTAAAAAACCCTACGCGGAACAAATGTCAAAATCATTTACATATATGTAGAGAATTCAGTAAAAAATAACACTCAAAATGTTCAAACAATAAACACAAGTGGCTCCCGTTACATCTTGAGTATATATTGAATGATATAGTGGCTCCCATTACATATTGAGTATATGTTGGTAATTTTTAACAACAATATTAAAACCTTGCAAGTGCACAAATCAAATGATAGTATAGTAAGCAAGCAAGGGTCATTCTCACAGATATTGTAATCTAAAGAGATGTTTATCAATGTCACGCAACGAAAACACAAGGACTTCCACTGTCCACACACACACCAACACCAAGGGGGGTTTTGATTTGATTTTGTGAATAAAACAAAATAAGGAAAACAAAACAAAACATAATTTAAATTAGAGTCTAAGAGAAATTTGTTTAAAATCAATCAAGAACAATAGCTATGACTCACTATCCACCTCCAAACAATCAATCAATCCATAAACAACAATAGATAATCAATTTCTAGCAAGCGTATGATGACGACACTCACAACAAGATCATGACATTTGATTCGAGTTGTATGATTCTTTCTTAAGTGTATGTAAAGTATATGACATTTACATCAATACGTGTATTCTTAATTGAAATCTAGTATGGCATTTACTCAAATTAACAATCAAGAATCCATTAAGATCAAAGAGAATATGAGTGTCACAAAAACCCTAAAACATGGCATTTGTTATTAGGAATTCAAGAATCGATTTCTCATAACTAGTTCTTAACCCAATTATTCGTTGCAAACAAGAACACATTCAATATGGCAATTGACCTATGTTCTACAACAATTTAATTCCAATACATGCTTCCAAGTTAGCTACTCAAAGAAACAAAATGTCAGAATTCACATAACATAGAGAAACCGAAATCATCATGCTTGTAGAAACTGAAAATCCATTCAAACTTGTTTATAAAATTGAAATCATGTTTAGGGCTTCAAGATTAAGCCCTAACTAACAAGAAATTAGTTACTCATGTTCTTGGATGAACTCAAAAATAAATACATAAGAACTGAAAAAGTCAAACAGGAAAGGAGAAGAAGAACTCGTTGGCAGATTTCTCCTCTTACGCGGTTGATCTATTTAGGACGTGAATCCTTTTTTTTTTTGGGGCCTTGGCTGGCCTTTTATATCACTTATATCAGAGTTCTAAACCCTAAAATTGACTGAAAAGTCGTCCAAGAAGTCTTGGTAAACAAAGAATCCAAATAGGAAAGTAAAAATCACAATTCCTAACTCCATAAGGAAATACAGCTCAGCCCAATTGTCACATGATTTTGGGATCTTCGGCCTTGTAGAAAAATCATTAAAAATATATTTT